TCTAAACAATGTTTCTAAACTCTAAATGCTCTAAAAGAGCACAGAATGTCATGATTTCATTTCTCTGCCTCGTCTTGGCCACGCCCACTTCTCCGCAGCAGCACGGAGCTCACAGGAGGAGCTGCAGGAGGACGTTTCTCTCGCAGTGTGGGATGCACAAGGGTGTAGCAGGTGCTGAATAATTTAAATAAATTAAAAAAATCTTTTAAAATAAAAATTCCATGCAGATCGTGGGGTTCATCCATCAATCAGCCAACTGCGCGTCATGGTCACTCTTATTTTGAAAAACCGCGATAGAGCGAGTCCGCGAAAAACGAACCGTGAAGTAGCGAGGGACTACTGTAACATCGTTTTTATTTTAATTTAAACTGATGGACAAATCAAACAGGATGCTAACATCGATCGTAGTAAAATGTTTAAAATGTTTCGTAACTCCTGAACAAACAGGTGAACAAAGTTAAACGATTCTATAAAAACAGATTAATACTCTACAGAAGGGTAGACTTACTTCTATTCACTGCTGGTTAAATACTTGCATTAATAATTATGTGAAAAACTCAAAAGTACCAGTGTTTATTTATTTATTTTTTTAAGAAAGTTAAAGACTAAATCACACTTTATTGATAATAAAGCTTCATACTGGGTTAAAAAAAAAACCTGAAGATGCAACAGAAGGGCTGAGTTTGATCGCAGCTGGAGATTTTATTTCATAACATGACATAAAAAGGCTCATATTGTGTATGAAATCATCTGCTGGACAGAAAAGAAGCCTCACACCAGCTGCGTTAAAGCGTTTCTTTTTCTTCCAACTGGAGATTTCAACAGTTATTTGTGCTTCAAGTGAATCAACAACAAAACAAGAGAATAAAAAAGGATCATTTCCGGCTGATTTGTGTTGGAGATAAAACTCAATTTTGTGTCTTATTTCTGTTTTGATCCATTTGGTTCAGAGACAGAATCAGAACGTTTAACGAGATGAAGCTACAAGTTTATGTTTTTTTATTAATCACCAGTTTTGTGTAAAGGACAAACTGTAAAGTTGACAAAACGAATACAACTTCTTCTGTTTTATCTTTTTTATTATTCCTAGCCTAAAGTTTACTAAACAATTAATTCAACTTTTAACTCTTTTTGCAATTCTTTAAAAAAAATAATAATAATTTTAACTAAAGGACTTTGTAAAATCACTTGGGTAAAAGTAAACCTTTTAAATATCAATTCATGGCCAGACAAAGTAAAATACTTCTGTTTCAAAATTAAAGAATTGTGTTTATTTCATGAGAAAAAGAGACAAACGAGGCGATGCTTTTAGGTAAAATGAAATACTCAGGCAAATTAATCAAGTATTTATTCATGTTTGATCAGTATTGAAGGAAATAATTTGCACAAATGACAAAAAGTTTGTTTTTATTTAACAGTTGAACATTCAGCAAAACATATCCAAAACGAAACTTGTTGGCATAAAATAAAAATGGTTTATTTTCAGGTCAAACTGTTGGAAAATGTAAATCAGTTCTATCTAGTTTGTATTTTTTTTATTATAATGACAGCCTGAAGTTTAAATATGAGCAACACTGCTGATCTGTCATGTTTTTTTTTTTTTATAAGAGGATTGGTGTGTGTTGTCACCCCTGTGTCTTTCTGGCTCCTACACACCTGTCCCCTATAATCACCCCAGGTGTCCCTCATTGTCAATCACAGGAGTTCCTAGTTCTTCGGTGTCTTGTCCTCCTCTCATTGTTCGTGGATTTTACTCTTTGTCGTCACGTCCCGTCTCCCTCCGTGTCACCTCATCGTACAGATGAAAGTTTCGCTGCCACGTCAGTTGTTGTTGTTTTGTGTTGTTTAAATTAATAATATTGCTTTAGTCCTGGGTCCTCCGAGTCCCGCCTGCATTTGGGTTCAAACCAGCGACGAATCGTGATAAGATCAAACGCTTGGGTTGTAATCTTGTCATTAAGTCAGATTATTTCAATTTCTACTTAAAATTTTCTCATGAAGACGTAAACCATCTTCATGTGAGATGATCTCTTTTTGTGAAAGAGGAGTACTTTAGTATTTGGCAAGAAGCAAATACAAGAAAACAAATTTCCTTTATTGTTTTTTTTTTTTTTTTTTAGTAACAATCATCTCAGTCACAAAATTGTGTTTTTTTTTTTGTTGTTAATTTTATTGTTTTGTTCTTTTGCTTCTAAATGCACATAATCCGTTTGGGTAAAGTTGACCACCATTCATGGAGCTGATATCAGATTTGTGCACTTCAACAATTTAACCACGACTCAGATTGGTAAAACTGTTTTTTTTTTTATCTAGTGGGGCAATAAATAACATTTATTCACACACATCACAAAAATACTCCACAGCTGTTTTATTTTTATCACGAATCAACAAGCAACGTGACATTAGTTGACGTCAAGAAGCATTTCCACCTATCCCCCCCCCAACTGAGGAGTCGGAGCTCACCGAGGCCAATTACAAGCGATGTTGCCATGGAAACAGCCAGCAGAGGCTCACCAATAAGCAGAGCGGGGGTTGAGGGGGTGTATAGAAGGGTGTCATAATCAAAGGAAATACATCTTAAAAAAGAGTCGAGCTCGACGGACAGATCAGATTAATTGTCGGACGAAGAAAGCGATTGATGGAGTGAAGGAGAAAGAGAGATGGACAGAGAGGAGGACAGACATCCAGAGACGAGGGACAGAACGTGTCCACTCACAAGAAACAAACCGATATTTTGATTCTATCAAATCCATCAACATGAAAATTCTGTAAAAACTGAAATGCAACTACTCGTTTTACGACTGTACCATATATTTTATAACATCTTTATTTTACCATTATTACATCATTTGATTATTTACTTATTATTGTATCTATTATTAATCACATATTAAACTTGTTAAAGTATAGTCTATATCCATAAACTCTCTCGTGTCCCGCTCAACTTCTGATCCGCTCAAGATAATTTAATGAAACTTCACACACACATGCATCGTCACTAGAAAGTGTTGTGTGCACGTATCACCACAGCTCTAAAGTCAAGGTCAAAAATCAAGGTCAAACCATACGTGTGTTTGCTTGTCCAGACCACAAATTCTGATCCACTCAAGATAATTTAACAAAACTTGATACACGAATGCATCACATGTGCACAGAGTGTTAATACACTTTTCATCACCCTGGCTTCAAGGTCAAGGTCAAATGCTAAACAAGGTCACTGCTTGTCTGGGCCATTGCTTTATATTTCTGTATGGCAGTATAATAGCTTGTAGACTGGCGTGTAATGTGCAGTATGCGATACTCTGGTGAACTGTAATAAGTTGCCTCCACAGATGAAAATGAACAATTTCACCAACTGGTATATTTATGTCTGATGCTCATTCATGTGTTTGTCCCTTTCAAACGGACATTCAATTAAACTTTGACCTTCGCCTCAAGCTATGTATGCTTTAATTTTTGTTAAACACAAAACTGAAGGAAAACCATTGTTTCTGATTATGGATAATAAAGAAGGGACAAAAAATAAGAATGGGTTTGAAATAATTGGATGTTTACACAAGATTTGCCTAAAGTGCCAAAAACACGGGGGCTTCGGATGTTATCATTGTTATTTATCATCCCCATAGGTTGCGTTCAGACTGTCCCTCCTACCTCATAGTAGTTTTAAAGGTATGTTCTTATCACTGATTATATGCAGCTTCGCACGAGTGTAAAAGCAGAAGATTTTTTTTAGCTGTATTTAACCGTTTTCCTGAACCTAACCTTACACCTGACCCTAAACTTAACCCGCTTACCCCTGAGCCTTAACCTAACCCCAGACCCTTTACTCTTAGCCTAACCACGTGACCATATGACCAGCGTTAACAACGTATCTTTAAACCTAACAGGAGGTGCAGAGGGGCAGTCTGAACGCAACCTATGGGGATAACTAATAATGGACCATTCAATGGCTGATAACATTCAAAGATCTGCGTGAATCAGTAAAGCTCCTCCGTTACCTGCTACGCTGATATAAACAGAAACCTCAAAGGTCACAGGTGACAGATGTTTTTTTAAATTTCCAATCATGTTTAAAAATTATTCTATTTTACTCTATGAAGGAAAAGCCTCATCTTAGTGTGAATCTTATCGGGTCAGAAGTTGTCAGGAAGGACAGACAAACCGACGGAGAGACAGACGGACTGGGCTTGGACAGAGGACAACAAAGGCAACCAAGAGAAGAAGGGACACATGGGGAGAAAGGAGGGGAGATTGAAGGCAGTCAAGCAAACCAAGAGCAAGCAGAAAGGGAAGAGGTCATCTCAGATCACTGAGCACATTGAGGATCGAGGAGGAGGAGGAGGAGTAAAGGAAGGATGAAGGGGTGAGACGAGTAAAAGGTGAGGGAGGGACTGAGGGGAGACCCATGAGGTCCCTTGGTTGTAGAGTCACAGTCTCCAATGATCACTTTTGTGACTATGCAACTGGACTCATATTACTAGCTGCAACATCACAAAAATGACACTGGCAACCGCAAGTTAGCTGGTAAAACAGAAGGGGGGGGGGTGCGGTGGGGGCTCGCGGAGGATTTGTAAGCAAAGCTTCTGGGTCAGTCAGTCCAGCAGGCTGGCGAGAGCGTGAAAGATAGATACTTCAGCCAACGTCTTCCAAACGTCGAGGGGGGAAACAGCAGACAGCAGGGTTTGATTGTGAAATAACTGCAGCAATAAAAGTGAAAAATCTCTCCCACAATGCTCCCTTCATTGTGCTCTGACCCCGCTGCCCTGTGAGTAAAGGCAATATTTCCAAACTGATGGTGTAATGCGACGGCCACCAGACCTTTCCATAAAAGCTGTGACCACGAACTCTCCCTCTCGATATCCCACCTAACTGATGTAAGTCTGAATATAAAACTACTTTGTAGGAGGGGGTCTATCGCTCAAGGAAATCCACAGTGGATAAACGGAGAGGGGCGGTTCCAGCTAACGGCTAATACAGTATATCAGCTTTAAAGTGGTCAGAGGGTGGAAGGAGGGAGAACTGAGGAGAAGCGGAGATAAAGGAAGTTGAATTCCCTCAAAACATCCTGAATTCACCTCAGAGAAAGGAAAGTGTCCGGGATGTTTGAGGACAGACAAATATTTACCTCTCGTCTTCTCACGATCAAAAATCATCCCCAGATGAGCAGCCATTGAACTGTTTAACGTGTTTTTTAAAGTTTCAGTTTGCAGTTTCCTACTTTTCGTAGAATGTTTGGTTCGGTGAGATTAGAAGAAAAGGTCAACGAGATGTGCAGACAAAACCACGTTAAAAGACGCTGACACCGTACCCCTGAACAAATCACGTTAGTAAAAAATATATTTAATGACAATGTGAGAATTGTCTCAGTTGTCTTGTGGAAGTTTTATGTGAAAAAAAAAACAGGGAGGTGACCGGCCCTCATGTCGTCTTGTTTTATTAAAGAACCAAGACTTCTAGTTCTTTTAAAGTGGTCCTGAGTAATCTGGGGCTTTAAAATACTGACTTCAGTCCAGTTCTTGTACCAATAGTTTTAAAGATTTTCTTCGATCATAAGCAACTTCACTGTCATTTAGGCAGAAAATCCATCTAACCTAAGTTGACACATAATGGATATTTTAGTCAAAAAGCTATTTCAAACTGTATATTTAAGCATTTTGAAGTCTGTTTTAAAAAGAACAATTGTTCTAATGTTATCGTCTAAACTTTTATTTTGAAAGGCATCACTGACAAGAAGATTCCTACAGAGCTGTTAGCCAATAACTCTTCATACAAGAGAAAACGACAAGAATGATTAATCTCTCATCGTTTTTTTTTTTGTTTAATATTTTATTTCTTAAGAACATGGCTTTCAGAATTTTTTTTTTTTTTTTTAGGTTTATTTGTCTTATTTTCTCAAATGTTTCATGGACACGCAACAGCATCAACATACAAAGTTCAGGGTTGTGGCAAATAGCTCTTTGCAAATCTTTTTGCTGGTTACGTACTATTTTATGCCTCTAAAACTGTGACCTTTGGTATTTTTTCACAGATGCAACTATAGAAATCCAAACATCTTTTAGTGGCGTAGCAACAAGCTTTTAGGAAACACCAACATACAACATCTAAAATGGATCTGGCGTTTATGTGTCGAGACAACACTGGCTCATATTTTGAGCGAAGCACCTTTTTCATACCACACCACTTTATTTATAAAGCACTTAAAAACAGCAACAAGGCCAACCAAAGTGCTGTACAACAAAACAACAAGCAAATAACACAGAATAAAATACATAGATCCACAGAGGTAAAGATAAGAACTAAATGACTAAAATTATTTAAAAAAAACAGAAACATTAGAATAAACTCACACAGTGTTGAAAGTCAGGGAATAAAAGTGAGTTTTTAAACGAGACTTAAAAACAGTGAGAGAGGGAGCCTGCCTGACATGCAGTGGCAACTCATTCCACAGTCTTGGACCTGCAACAGAGAACGTCCTGTCACCTCTGAGCTTAAAATGAGTTCCTGGAACCAATAAAAACATCTGGTCTGCGGACCTCAGAGAGCACTGTGGGACATATGGCTGCAGCAGATCAGCGAGATAAGAGGGAGCAGAACTGTTCAGAGATTTAAAAACACACAGAAGAATTTTAAAATGAACTGGGAAGTGAACCAGGAGCCAGTGAAGGGAGGCCAGAACTGGAGTAATGTGCTCTCTTTTGCCTGTACCGGTTAAGAATTGGGCTACAGCATTTTGAACCAGTTGTAAACGTGCAATAGAGGTCTGACTGATTCCAGATGGAAGTGTATTGCAGTAATTAAGACTGGATGTTATGAAAGCATGTATTACTGTGTCAAGATTACTTTTAGACAGTATGGGCCTCAATTTAGACAGTCACCTCAACTGAAAAAAACAACAATGGGATTTAACAATCATGTTTACATGACTGTTTAGTTTCATAAGAAGGGTCCATTTTCACTCCCAGATTAGTGACAACTTATTTTTTTATTCAACCTTTATTTATACAGGTTAGTTCCCACTGAGCCTCGAGGACTCATTTACAAGAGAGACCTGTTTCTCTAAAGGGGGCTAGAGAGGGTCGATACAGTGGTTCCTCATATTTCATGTTTATAACAGACAACGAGTTACAAGAACCGGACTGAAAATGGGTGGGAAAAAAACAAACATTTGAAAGACCTTCAGGAACCCTGATGAACTTTTGATCAAGACCACAAAAACAGAATTACAAGAATGTTGGAGGAAAAGCACAAACAAATGAGAAACTTAACTTTTGTAAAATTCTCAAGTGTAAATCTTACACTTGTTTTGCACAATAACAGGTTTTCAAGTTAACCACTGCAGTTGTTATTTTGTTTTCTCAAAGCCAAGTCAAGAAATTAGAGGGGAAATAATTTAAAACTATAAATCATTTATCGACCAAAGAAATACATTTGATCAACTTATGTGACTTACATGTGTCTGGATTTGCTGTTTCCATTGACTCTTAAAACAAGCTTAAATTTATTTAAAAAAATGTTTTGGAAAACCAATAAAAAACTCTTAAACCATACAGTAATTTACAGTACATATCAATAGGCAAGTACTAAAAGGTATTTTTGTTCACTTACCCACATCATATACACTTGGTCAGATTGTATCTCCAACAGTGTTTGTGCTTTCAAAGAACTTATGTGTGGTGGAAAGTGAGCGGGGGATGAAATCTGAATTACTGCACTGGCAGTTCTTCCATCCATGGTTGTTGTTTTTTTTATTTAAAACAATGGAGTTAGTGATGGATTTTACCACAGTGTGAAAAGGGAAACTTAGCCTTCAACAGCTTCGTGATTAAAAGGAAAGGGATGCTGAGGTTTATTTTTTAGCGCTTGTAGAAATCTTTAAAGAAGTGTCTACCTGCGGAAGTCGAGGAGCGTCCGGCTGGTCTCTGGGACGCTCTTGTTGAGCCAGGTCAGGAAGTGGAACTGAGTGATGGTCCGCGTCTCGTTGGTCTGCATGTTCTTCAGGTAGAAGCTACGAACCAGGAAGTCGTCACACCAGATGTGCTCGGACACAAGATTCACCTGTGAAGAGACGACAACTGGTCACACAGGTGAGGGATGATAAAAATTAATCAGGTGGGGATGATTCACAGATTATGATCAACAAGCTGTAGACATGAGCTTAGGTTGAGATTATTTATTCAGATAAATAATCTTATTATTAGAGCTTTAAAATGTTTCAATGAGCTGTTTCTCCAATTAAATGCCCCAAAAAAGCCAAAATGTTAAGGTATATTTGGTATTGCCAACTGGGAGTTGGAGAAAAATCTTGTCTGCAGTGGTAAGTGTCCCGCCCCCACCCCCAAAAAGAAATTTAATCAATGCTATAAGGTCTTTGAAATCTGTAGCAAATCAAAAATATGGAAAAGATAAGTACCCAAGGTATTTTAGAAGATTTCACTCACATTATAGAGCAGGAGTGGGCAATAATTTGTTTCCACATGGCCTTTTTGTTTTCATTAAAACAATCAAAGGGCCGTACATTGAATATTCTTTCAGAAACTTGTGTTTGGAGACATGTTTAGGGCTTTTCTTTTCTCTATAAACACAGAAATAATCTCTTGTATTATCAATCATACCATCTTTAAACTGACACTTGTGACAAAATATGAATCTGTCAGATTAAAATAAAAGATGCATAATAATAAGATATTTTCTCCGTTTTGTGCATTTCCCAGTTTGCGCAAACCCTGATAACACTCGAGGCATGTTTTAATCAAAAAACTTGGCATTTTAATTTCATTTAAGCTACAAAATGTAGGTCCTGGGACGGAAACACAGCTCGGGACTTTTCTGCTTGGAGTTTGGATTTTCCTCTGGGCACTCCAGTTTCCTCCTACAGGCAACTTACGAGTTGAATTGGAGACTCTAAATTGGCTCATGAGTGTGTGACTGGTTGATTGTCTGTATGTGGCTCTGAAGAGGACAAAATGGACGTCAAAAACTGACCTGAGACTGTCCAAAAGCCACATTTAACTCATGTGAACTACAGAGAGTCGAATACCTAAGGAACAAAAGGCACTGCAGAGATTAGCGTTGCACCAGATGAGTCATTCCTACCTCATAGATGTGATACAGGTTGGATCCTTCATCGGGCCAGTAATGGTAGCACTGCTTCACCCCGTTTTCCACCAGAGGCGTCAACATAACGATGACCACACAGCCATTCTCCCAAACCATCTGAAAACACGACATAAAGCAAATGATCTGGCCTCATCTTTGCGATTTAACGACAATTTATTTAACTGCATTTTCCTAACTGCTATAAGCAGAGGAACATACCTTCTGAAGCTCTCTACGTTCGTGCTGCTGTTCGGCGTATTGTTTTTATACTACTAGTGCTTAGTGTGCTTTTATTAACGTATTTCTTAGTTCATATCTTAGATCTTATTGCTGTTTTTCTTTTACATTTTAATACTTTTGCTGGATGTATCTGGGACCCTGTGTACACAATTTCGTTCCATCACATGTGCCACATGTGGTGTGAATGACAAATAAAGAACCTTGGATCCTTGAATCCAAAGCAAAGCATGATTTTATTTGTTCAGATGAAAGAGAGGAGCGTGAAGACCTGCCTGTTTACTTCAAGTCAGCTGAGTGGAAAAGCTTTGTGATTATCACTGTCAATGATGAGCAATGAGAGGGGCCGGTACGGCAAACCAAGTAGGTCATGAACTGAGGGACTTGAACCTAAATAAGGCAAGCCATTGGTGTATTTTTAATAATCCTGATATCAAGTGCCATTTTTTTACACTAGCACTCAAGCAGCTGAGACGCCAGGTGTGAGCTTTTAACATTTTTTGTGTGTGTACATAATTAATGAAAATAAAAGTTGGTTTAAAATTAGTAATTTTACAAGTTTTCATATAACTTTAGTATTTACTTTCCCATAATAATACAATGTATGTTTTCTTTAAAAAACAGATTGTATAGAATGTTTCCTTATTGTCTATTGTTCAAACATTTCTGTGTTGATTCAGCTATAAATGTAAATCAAGATTTTTTTTTAATGTTAAATACAAGTTATAATAACAAAAGTTTTCATAGAGGTCCCATTTGTGTGTTCTGTTAAGTTGTTCAGTTGTGTTTGAGAACAGATTACGGGATGTTTTTACCATGAAGCAGCAGAAGATCAGGCTCATTTGAAAATGAGAAAGAATCAAATTAGGTGACAGCTTTCTTAATCATTTGTTCTTTTACTTTCCTTTTTGACAACTCCTATAATTCAGGAGATCAGTTCTCTCTTGTAAATTAGTCCTCGAGGCTCAATGGGATTACCTGTCTAAATAAAGGTTGAATGAAAAATTAGGGTCGGCTTGTCATGCTTCCATATTGACAAATTGACCTCATTTCCTTAAATTAATTGTTAAAATTGAATAGTTTTCATTTGATACTATTTCTATCTTAACATGTGATCCTTGACCTGCCATTGTGTATCTGTTCTTACCAAACCCAGCCGGTCGAAGCAGATGGCCTCTTGTCCTGAGCCTGGTTCTGTTAAAGGTTCCTTCCTCATGAGGGAGTTTTTCCTTTCCACTGTCACCTTCATGTTTGCTCAAGATGAGAATTCTGCGATGGAGTTAAACTCAAAGCAGTCTGCTTCTCAGATAAATAATTTTAAAGTATTATTTTTAAATATGAACATTTCTGATTACTTATTTTATATATTAATATTTCCGTTCGGTGCCCTCAGACGACTTCTGTCATGACTTGGCGCTATATAAATAAACTGAATTGATTTTTTTTACATCTCTGGCTGAATGTTTAGATGTTTTTCATGATTCAAGTGGACATAAATGCACAGAAACCAGTGTTTTTCTTAGATAATTGTTGTCATTGTTATCATCATTCTTTGTTAAAATCAGGTCTCTCTTGTAAATGAGTCCTCGAGGCTCAATGAGATTAACCTGTATAAATAAAGGTTGAATTGAATGTTTGATGACTGGACACATTTAGTGTGACATTCTTCACCTTGTACCCGATTTCTAATCAAACTGTAATCATTGCGTAAATTATAGATTTTATTAGATCTGACAGGCTCCATCCATCCATCCATCCATCCATCCATCCATCCATCCATCCATCCATCCATCCATTATCTTCTGCTTGTTCCAAAGTCGGGTCATGGGGGCAGCAGTTTGAGCAGGAAGGCACAGACATCTCTTTCCACAGCCACCTCTTCCAGCTTTTCTGCGAAAATTCCAAGGCGTTCTCAGGCTATCTGAGAAATGTAGTCTCTCCAGAGTGTCCTGGGTCTTCCTCGAGGTCTCCTCTGTCAGACATGCCTGAAGCACCTCCCTAGGGAGGTGCCCAGGGAACATCCTTACCAGATGCCCGAACCATCCCAACTCCTCTCGATGTGGAGGAGCAGCAGGTCTACTCTGAGTCTCTCCTGAATAACTGAACTTCTCACTCTACCTCTAAAGGAGAGTCCAGCTACTCTGCAAAGAAAACCTATTTCAAACGCCTGTATCCACAATTTCATTCTTTTGGACACAACCCAGAGTTTGTGACCATAGGTGAGGGTAGGAACATAGACCGATGGGTAAACAGAGAGCTTTGCCTTACAGCTCAGCTCCCTCTTCACCACAATGGACTGGTACAAAGTCCACAATACTGCAGACACTGCACCAATCCATCTGTTGATCTCACACTCCAGTCTTCCCTCACTCTTGAACAAAACCCCAAGATCCATGTCCCAAGAGTCAGCTTTTGTAAGCCAGGGTCAGAGCACCAAGGCCTGTGCTTTTGGCCACTGCCCATGGCGTCATGCATCTGACTCATATGGCCCCTCCTGTGGGTGGTGGGCCCACAGGAAGGCAAACCCATGTTTCTTATTTGGGCTGAGCCTGACCAGGCCTTATGGGAAGAAATCCAGTCACCAGGCATTCACCATTGAGCCCCTCCCCCAGGCCTGGCTCCAGGGTGTGGCCCCGGTATGCCACATCTGGGCAAGGGACACTTAGCTCCTTGTTTGTTTCTGTCCATAAAAGTCTTCGACAGGCTCAACACTGCAAATGGTTTATGTAACCCAAATTTATTTAACAAACTTACAAAGTTGGTGGAAATGCCAAGCAATTAGTCATTTCTTCAGAGTGGGAATCATGTTCAAGAAGAGCTTGACGTGGAACAAGATCTCATATGAAGCTGTCAACACCTTTGAAAAAACTGTCAGCAGAACTCTGACATGCGTCTTCACTCACTTGGATACTACTTCATAATGAGTTTCAGTTTTCTGCAACCTATCATCCTGGAAGGACAGAGGCTTCTGATGTGAAGGAAAAGTCTGAGTAAGATGTGCTCCCAAAGTTTGGTTAGAAGCTCCAAGGAAATTAGGCATCATGAGAAGTAATTACTGTTTCTGTAAAGTCTCTTGTCTCTCTCATCTGGGTCATCAGACAGCCAGAGTTGGTGCTTGCTTGTATTTTTTTTCCTGATGGTAGTCATATCCTCACAGCTGGGCGGGCGCCCCCGCTCAGGAGATCCATTCCACTCTGATCAGAGGTAACAGCCAGCCGTTAATGAGAGCTATAAAACACGACCGCTCTCACATCGTTGGCTTGGGTAATCAAGACGGCTCCACGTGCACCACAACTCGGTGGAGACTTAACTGATGTTAATTGTGGCGGGTTTTGAATTACTGCCCCTTTTCTCAGCTCCCCACTGCTTCACTGATTAGTTTCATGGATCTAAAAGTGTGATGGTGCACTTTTTTTTTTGAGAAATGGTGTTAATTTGGTTCGGCTGACAGGGTGAAAATTCTCCTAGAGCTGGCTGAACAAGTTCCCATTATTAAAAGTTGAAGTTTGTAAATTACTAATTATATTCAAGGGTACTTTTTCAGTAAGAGTTACTGCACATCTTGTTGTTTATAATACTTTGAAGCCGAACATAGTAGATGATCAACATTGATCAACCCAGATTAGCAACACTGATAAGAAATGATGATGATGGTTCAATCAGCTGAGCTGATACACATCTGGGAGGCTGGAAGAAGATCACAAAGCCGACAGAGGCTGAGATGGACGCAAGGTGAAATCTTCAGCTGCAACTTGTGTTTTTTTCCCCAACTATACACACACACACATATATATATATATATATATATATATATAT